AAGGAAACCCCCATCAACACTGGAAAGAGTGATAATAGCCACTGGAATTGAGAAACTTATTTTCCTGAAAAATTGTTTTAAGAGAAAGATTTTATAAATTTCAACCAAAAGCAGTACTAGCTGCTCGGTCAATGAATGCCAAATGTTTCCTGTAGGGAAATGGCTAATATTACCATTACCATCTATGCACATTTAGCCTGGTGAAGAACCTGGCCTCAATGTCACTTTTAGCATGATGTTATCATAATGCACAAACAGTCTAGTCTAAAAGTATTCTAAAAATGCAAAAGCAGAACTGCATCCACAGATCTTGATAATGACCAGAACTATAGTTGAAAATGATAACTCTAATGCACATTCTTTTGTATGTAAACAAGATAATTTAATTTCAGTCTAAATTTCTGAAATGAGGCATTATCATTGTTTATGTTATTTACATGTGGTCTAATCTTTGTTAAGATTATCACAATGTTTCAACCATTGTACCCTCTGGTCTTCTTCAGGTGTCGGCCAATCTAAGTAACCTTCAAGGTATTTTGAACTGACCCCTTTCTATAATCTATGGGGGTAGATTTTTCTTGTTCTGCTGTCCATGTCTAGGGATCTCTCATCTTGTTTTCATTTCATATTGCTCAATGGAAGAAGAATACTTTAACCCTAGATAAGGGTTTCAGTTCGAAATACCCTGAAGATTACCTAGATCGAAAGACACCTGAAGCAGCAATAACTGTTAAACTCACAAAAGTATTAATGGTCTGAAAAACTAACTTGGTAAGCATTGTTCCTTTATTTCCAGTCTGAACTCTTTATTCACGGCTGTAGATTGTCTGCCAGAATAGCTTCAATGAAAAGCAACCAAAATTAACTCATTAATGTACAATGTAGAATCTAGTATTAATTATAAAAATTAAAATAAACCTTGCATTAATTATGAGTTTCTAAAAAAAATACTTAGAATGATAAAGAGATAGTTGAAATACTTTAAGCCACATAATGAGAAAAGATGGCTTGGAGAATTTGACACTAACAGGACATATTAAAAGCAAGAGGCACAATATAAAGCAGCAAATAATCTACTTAATGAGCTTGTGTAAACAATTGGTGGAACAGGGATTAGGAGAAATAGCAAGAAGACATACTAAGAACTAAAAAGAACTGGAAATTGTAGAGAGCCATAATCACTGATGTAACACCTACAACTTGACAGCATCCAATGTTGATTGGTTCTTCATCTTGGATGCATGATGGTTAGAGAGTGGAACTGACCCACTGTAACATTGTCTTTCTCTACTTTAAAAATTTCATGCACAAGCATTGCATGACATTGTAAATCACAACTGGGTCTTGCAATGATATTTTGCAATGGTCATATTCAACAACAAGGTATCAGCCATCATATACACACACACACACACACAGATATATATATATATATATATATTACGATAAATGTGCAATCAATTTACAAATTCATGAATTATTCACACAAAAACAAATGCAAAGGTTAATGATTTAATTGGCGAGAAATCCTTGTCATAAACAATTCAAATAATATACAAAACCTCGAATCCGTTATGAATGAAAAGATCCTTGTTTCTATAAATTTCTGCCATATTAGTTCTTATTTTTACTACAAGCTTTCGTCTGTTCCTACAGACATCTTCAGGTATGGAATAGATGTTGTTCTTGTTTTTTCTCTTAGTAGGTTTTTGGGAGGTTTTTGTATATTATTTGAATTGTTTTGCGGCGATGGATTTCTCGCCAATTAAATCATTAACCTTTGCATTTGTTTTTGTGTGAATAATTCATGAGTATATATATATATATATATATATATATATATATATATATATATATTTATTCATATATTTGTGTATTTAGGCAGCAATACTTCTTTCAGGCACATTTCATTAAAAGCGACAGACAAGGTGATTTTATTATTAGATCACATGAGAAATTATATAAAAAACTAAATAAAAGCACCTTGTCTGTCATTTTTAATGAAATGTGCATATTTATATATATATATATATATTGTGCATTTGGGGAGAAATCCCTTAGATATGAAGAACTTTTGGGCAGTTTTTATATACTTTGTGTCCAGAAAAGAAAACACTTGTATGAATACAATAAAAATTAAATAAAAAGCTTGTCAGACTTCTGTGTGTGTGTGTGTGTAATGAATGCACAGCCACAATTTTCGATGGATTTGCACCAAAATTTACATGCACATGCTCCAAGTTAGCAGGAAGGCATTTTCCAACTCCCATCAATAGTGGAAATAATCGATTTTTTCATGCTTCTTTGACACTTTTCATGTAGTTTGCGGCCATTTTCTAATGGCCAGAGTGAGAGCCTATAGCTGGCTGCCACGAATAGGCAGGAAGATTCTAATGGCCAGTGTGAGAGCCAACAGCTGACTGACATGAATGTTAACTAGCATGCAAAAAAAATCGATAGCTGCATTCGTCACAAGTGGTAAAAATTTAAATTTGCATGACACTTTACTCCAATTGGCTCATTCGCTTGCTTAAACTCAACGTTGATTCTGATTCTGCAGAAGTGGGTTGGGTGTGAAAAAGTATTTGTTGTTAACATTTTTTTTTCATCCAGTCTTTCCCGTTACAAGTCCTTTTTTAAAGCTGATCGTTTTGTATTCATTTGGTTTAGTTCTTTTTTCGTAACTGATTTAATGTTTAGTATAGAGCTTAGATAAAATTTGCAGTGTGAGATAGGCAAGAAGTAAGGCATATAGCAACATCAGCACGGCAAAGGGCACTCCTTTAAAGGCAAGGAAGGGCAAAAATATTTTAAGTCAAGTGATAGCGATTGCTGTATGAGTCATACGATTTTTGAATCAAGCATGGGCAACGCCAAGCCATGCTGCTAGTATATATATACATAAACACACACACACACACATATATATGTATGTGTGTGTGTGTGTACATATGAATAAGGTATATTTAGGTAGAAAGCATTCATCCAAACAAGTTTGATTACAAAGAACTGACATGGTTTATCTGTTTAATTTTTTTACTGTATTTTTATTTTATTTTTTAATCAGTTCACCTCAAGCAAGACAATAATGCCACTAAGATGCAAGAGTCTACTGGTAATGAAAGAGAAAGAGAAGTCCTTAGGCTGAATCGGAAACCTACTCCTAACCAAAAAACAAGGGATAGTCCTCTACTCCTGTTCATGCAAACGTATCTAGTCCTGTTCAAGGTAAAAGAAAATAAATAAATAGTAAATGAAATTTTAAGAGTTTATGCAGGGACATTAGAAGTATAGATTGGCATAGATAAGAAATAGATTGGCTCAGATTGAGGAATCAGAAAGCTGAGTGCGAATTCCACTCAAATCCATTACATTCACTTACATGCTAATACCCTTGGGAAAGGTATGAATCCTCTTTTTCTCCCCCCAGCTATGGGTAAATAGCAGGACAGACTGGGTTCTATAGCCCTGGATGGCAACTGGTCTACCAGAAAGAAATGGCAACCTACTGTGGGAAAAAATCTGGTTTGTCAGTCATGTATTGAAAGATATATGATCGTCTAAGCTTGTATCATGCATGGCACATAACTGACTGCTAACTATTGTGCTTGAAATTGTGGATTGGAAATTGTTAATTGGGAATTAAACTTCAGACAATTTATCCACAATTTTGAGTACAATACTCAACACTTTATTCAAAAAATGAAAAATATAATAAAAAATTAAACAGACATCTTGTGGACTCTTTTTAATCAAACTTGTTTGGTATATATATATATATATATATATATATATATATATATATATACGGAAATAAAATGTTTTGATATAAATTGGCTCAGATTGAGCTTGATTCATTTGAATAAATAAACATATAATTAAAATTTTAAGATAATAATACAAGAAACATTCACTCTCTTTATGCTCCCACTCAAACAAAAAACAAGAATAAATTTGGTAAACCTCTGCTTCCCTTATTTTTCAAAGACATCATGCACCCAGTCACATGTGCACACCCACCTCATCTATGGAATTAGATCTCCAACCCAACAGTCAATTGCCATCATCCTCCTTCAAGTAGAGAAATTTGGCTGAAATACTAGATTCAAAAAAAAAAAAAAAATCCCTAAAGATTTCAAAGACAGGAGGATGACTTGCAGGAACCTGCTGTTTGCCAATAAACACAATGATGCAGCCTCTGGCATTTTAAACACTGACAGGGTGATTGCTGCCTGTCGAATGTGGGGGATGTGGTGATATGAAGATGAATAAGATGAAGTAGAGATCCAGAGTGTGGGTGTGAACCCTGGAGGTGAGGGGCATGTGAGAATGAAAGAATAGTGTTTGGGAAGAGAGACTGAAAGAAAATCAAAAAGGGACATCATGCTGCACAAAGGGAAGGAGTGAAAGAGATTGCTGTGAAGAACAGATTTGTAAATGGTGGGGTAAGGGTAAGATTAAAGAAGGAATAGAAAAAGAGAAATGGAGGAGGAGAGGAAACGAAATAGAGAAAAGATGTTTGTGAACAGTGAAAGTTTTTGAAAAGGGTGGAAAGTGGATGGCAAGAGATTAGTCAGATAATAGAGAATCAAAAGAAAAGGTGTCAACCCTTGAAGTAATTAGGTTTGTAGAAGAATGAAGCAGAGAAGAAAAATCAGGTGAAAGAGAATGAGACGAAGAAAAAAGATGCAAAGAAGGAACATATGAAGAAGAAAGAGGTGAAAAAGAAAAAGGTGAAAAAGAATGAGATGAAGAAGATGGAAAGAAAGAAGAAGCAAAGAAGAATGTGAAGGAGAGATTGAGAAGAAAGAGGTGAAGATGAAAGAAGTGAAGAAGATGGAAGAGAAGAAAGAAGCAAAGAAGAATGCAGCTGAGAAGAATGAGGTGAAGAAGAAAAAAGTGAAGAAGATGGAATGGGAAGAAGAAGCAAATAAGAAAGAGGTTGAGAAGAATGAGGTGAAAAAGTAAGAGGTTAAGAAGATAGATATCTTCTTCACTTCTTAATTCTTCAGAAAGAAAAAAGAGTCAGAAAAGAATGAGGTGAAGAAGATGGAATGAAAAAAGAAGCAAAGAAGTATGAGGTTGAGAAGAATGAGGCAAAGAAGATGGAAGGGAAGAAGGAAAGAAGAAAGAGTTAAAGTAGAATGAGGTGAAGAAGTTGGAAGGATGAAGAAATAAAGAAGAAAGAGGTTGAGAAGAATGAGGTAAAGAAGTTGAGAAGATGGAAGGGAAGAAGAAGCAAAGTAGAAATAAGAAAATAAGAATGAGGTTTGGAATAATGAGGTGAAGAAGAACAAAGTGAAGAAGATGGAAAGGAGGAAGAAGAAAGAGTCAATGTAGAATGAGGTGAAGAAGATGGAAGGGAAGAAGAAACAAAGAAGAATGAAGTGAATAAGTAAGAAGTGAAGAAGATGGAAGAAGAAGCAAAGAAAAAAGAAGTTGAGAAGAACGAGGTGAAGAAGTAAGAAGTGTAGAAGATGGAAGGGAAGAAGAAGCAAAGAAGAAAGAGGCAAAGAAGAAAGAAGTGAAGAAGAAGCAAAGGAGAAAGAAGCGAAATGAGATGAATCTGGCGATGAAAGGCACAGCTTTAAGTGAGGTTAGATTTAAAAGACGAGGAACAAATGATAGCAAATTTCCATGTCACCTGAATTGATACACCCAGCTCTCTTTACCTGATTCTTTATTTCTGCTAAAATACATTATCTGTCATATAAGAAATAAAAAACTGCAACCGACCTCTTTCCACCTGCCATCATGCAATAGTACATGCAAATGTATAACATAGCATAGTTACCAACTTCAGTCTCATTTCTCTTGATACTTCCTTACATCATTACTTGTATATCTAAGAAGATATAATTAGTCAAAAAGCAGTATCAAATGTTTATTCTTAAGAGAAGTCTAAAAAAAGAACACATTTTAATTACTAACAAAGCTTATCTTAGATTGGCAAAAAGACATTATAGAAGAGACCCTGTTAAAAATTTAATTCATTGGACAGGAGAACTGGATTGTCCGCATAAGAAATTTGCTAACATTTGCACCATGGTAACTGCACTTCTAAGCACAGCATAGTCAGACACAAGGTCACAGAAGAGCATATGAGATCAAATCCACTACACAAGTAAATTAGAGTTTGTCTATATTTCTGAGATGAGGTATTATGTACAGTATTTACATTAGTCGGACTATTGTCCTCATCTTTGTCGCCATATTTGTCACAACGTTTCGGGTTCCTTGAGGACACATGGCACAGTGGATAAAGGCGTTGGTTAGATCCAGTGACAGACCCAAAGAAGGTGAGTTCAATTCCTGGTTAAGGCAGTGGAGAACTTTCAGAGGGAAAATTAGCAGGAGATAACTGATAACTGACATCCATCAAACATGGCACGTGGAATTAGAACAGTCTACCCCAGTGATCGAAATAAAGGGTTCAGTTCGAAATTCCAACCACCTGAAGAAGGCTGGAGCGTACAACGGCCGAAACGTTGTGACAAATATGGCGACAAAGATGAGGACAATAGTCCGACTAATGTAAATACTGTACAAGTAAATTAGTTTGCAGAGTTAACTTGCTATTATATTGCAGTAAGCTTGTTTCAAAGCATAAGTTGACACAAGGCTATAACAATGGAGCACTGAATGAGCATCAAACAAATTCAACAAGTAAACTGGCCTGTAAGGAAAACTTAAGCAGGTGTCAGGGACAAAAGATTTTAATCACTAAGTATCTTAGATCAAGAAAACTCTTCCAAATTTTCAAATAAATTGTTGCAAATGAAAATTATAAATAAATTGTTCAAAACTTGTGTTTTTGTTCAATTACTTTTCATTGCCCTGATCAATATCAGTAACTAATGTCGTCAGTATGATAAACAAAAGTTTTATCAGCATTTTTTGGAACAAGAAATTTTAAATTTAAATATATGGATATGGTGTAAGGGATACCACATGAAGGACAGAAAAAGTTAAAAAGATATTTTATATATATTATTTTATATGTATTATAATTTTATCACATTTTTTATGTATTATGATTATTTTATATGAATTTTAAATATTTTAAACATATTTTGAAATACTCCAGAATTGAAAGATATTTGATTTAAAATAAATTATTTCTTTTGCATAATAATAGCTATGAATAAATATTTTCAGACAGTATGTGTGTATATATATATGTGTGTGTGTGTGTGTACATGTGTGTGTGTGTGCGTGTGTGTGTGTGTGTATATAAGGACAAACTCTATTTGTATTAATACCATTAATGCTCTATCTGATATCCAGCACTTTATTACAAAGACTGCTTGTTTTGAATGTCCTTTCTTTCAGAATTCCACTATCTTTGTTACCACTACTATATATATATATATATATATAATTTAAAAATAATATATATATATATATATATATAGATAGATAGATAGATAGATAATTTAAAAAATAATTATAATCTAGGCTCTACTTGTGTATTGAGCACTGTTTTTAAAAATAAAAATACTAAAGAACTTCGGATCATCAATCTAACAGTTCTTTCCTATTTTATCAATATATTTGCACACACACACACACAATTATATATATATATATATATATATATATAATAGACTGAATTAATATGTGGTGCAAACATATTTCTGATTCATAGGACTGTAATAGGTTTGCAATGATTGTAAACTCAATGGACATAGTGGCAGAAAAGAATATCATTTGGTTTTTTAACATGTATCTGATGAATAAAAAGTTATCACCACCATAACAAATAGTTACTTGCTCTTTTATATTATAAACATGTCTAATGACATGTATTAAATATAAAAATTTTTTTTGATATTTTCCATAGTTTACAGTCAAATCATGTTGAAACACCAGATCTCATTTAATCATGAAGTTCAGCAGTATCATTTTGCTCAATACTTAGATGGGGGACCACTTGAGAACACTGAGTACTGTATATAAAAACTTGGTTGGGCATAGGACTAGCAACTTTGTTGCAATAAAACCTTACTTGACATGGAAACTACAGCAGCAACACCTAGTGATGTCAAGAGCTGCAATGCCTTTGTAGCTCTTAGTAACTTTTGCCTTTTTGCTATCACTCCTAATCACTGTTCTACCAACCATTTATACAAACTTGTTAAGTCTGTTACTTACTGTTTTATTCTGTCCCTCTTATCTTCTATATGTCCTCTTGTTTTACATTCTCCAATGCCTCTTCTCACATTATGTGTCTCTTTTCACTTCTAAGCATAAGTGGCCATTTTGTTTCCATTTCCCTTAAAACTTTCTTGTTATTCACATATAATCAATAGAATTGGGCATCTCGAGGTGGTGTAATGGTTAGCAAGCTTGTCTCGCTAGAATAATTACGACTGAGTAGTGAGTTTGATCCTCACTGGGTGCCCCATTCTTTCAGTCTTGTGCCACATCTAAGCTATGCTTAGAAACTCCTTATAATCAATAGAATTACTGAAAGCAAATACATTATGGAAATGAGGGTCTCTGGTTCCTGTCTATATCTGCTTTTCATATTTTGAATTTTTAGGCATTTTTGAGTATTTAAAAGGTAAAAATTTTGATTCCTTAAAAACAATTACTGGGTACTCATCTATTGTGACCTTTCTAGAGGCAATTTCTGGGGTTTTATGCAGGTTAGGTTATCGTGACATTTTTAATGGAAACATGTAACATAACTGACAAGTGATAAAAAGTGGATTTGAAGAGTTTATTTCCAACAATTTATTGAGAAAAAAAAAGGTTGAATAATTGTATTGAGTTTGTTGCAGTTGCAATACATGACTTGTTAGATTGTGACTATGTTTGCTATGGAGATTTATATGCACACTTTAATATGCATAAAAACTATCTGTAATAATGAAAATACATAATTTCATAATCAAAAAACAAGTAAGGACTACTAGTTAGTCAACAATACATTATGGAATAAAATAAGAAAAATACAATATTAGAATTTAGCACATTTTCATTAATTTTGATATGCTAAGTGGTGAAGCCATTGTCACATGATAAAATAAAAACATTATTCAGGATGCAAATTCAAGTTTCATCCACCCATCCAAAGTCAATTTATTGTCATTTCCTGCAATCCAAATATAAAATGCAAGTTGTGGAAAACAGTAACATATGACTATTGTTTTACTTATATTTTAGGTATATAAATTATATTTAGTAAATGCACATACTTGAGTAAATACACTTGTTAATGCTTTTAAATAATAAAATCATTGTCTACTAAGAAATTGAAAGTGCTGTACTTCCCAGAAGGAATCAAACCTACTGGGAGGCATATTTTGTTTTGTGGGACTTCTGGGCCAGCAGACAGTGATTTCACTGTTTAAAAACACTGTGACCTTTATAATCACAAGAAATATATATATATATATATATATATATATATATATATATATATACTGTGTGCCAAATTATTATCAAGATAACTTTTTTCTAATATTTCAAAAACCGTCTAATCAATTCACACAAAATTTTCACACAATGTTAGCAACACTGACCTCTTGAATCACTATATATATATATATATATATATATATATATATATATAGATGTGAGTTTGTAACCCTAGGTTTCGTGCTTTTGTGATCCTCAGGCAAACATGGGTTACAAACTCATATCCATACAAGTGTATATATATATATATATATATATATATATATATATATATAATTATTTATTTAAAAATATGATTCTAAAACGCGACATAAGAAGTCTCATGTTTCAAAACAAGAGCCGAAAACTTCAATATTTAATTATTCAATTATTTAAATTAAATTGAGTTAAAGTGAGCTCTGTTCCATCTTCAAGTGAAATTTTTTTTTGTTGGAATGTTGAACTGAACCCTTTATTTCACTCACTGGTGTAGACTGTTCTAGTTCCACATGCCATGTCTAATAGAAGTCAGTTATCAGTTATCTCCTGTTAACTTGCCTCTCCAAGTTCTCCAATGCCTTAACCTAGTATTGAACTCACACATGGCACAGTCAATGGAGGCATAACTTAGATCCAGTGAAAGGACCCAAAGAGTGTGAGTTTGTTTAACAAATGTTGAAATTCATTTTTTTAACACACGTTTTTGCATTGACAAGCCCTAGGGAGAATATCCATCTATTAGAACAGCTTGCCAATCCCTATTGTAGCTGCTTGCCCAGGCACATTTGTTTTTTGCTCAACACCCACAGAGCTCACCAGTTTCTGGGAGAGAGCATGTTATCTAGGATATCAACAATTTGTACAAGGCCAGCTAGCTCAAGCCCTCAGCTACGATGACTTGTCGATTCATGCTAGCACAAGGATTGAGTTAATCCGTGGTATGGTTTTCAGGCACTTTTCAAAGTTGCCGCACGCTGGGATCGACCTCGATCCAGTCTAATAACATCAGGAACTTGCCTTTGAATGGTGAAGTTCGAAACCAGGTATCATGGTCAGAAAGCAAACATTCTAACCACTCAACCATACGGCCAAATATATATATATATATATAAGCTTAAAAGACTCCCTATTGGGTGGTATTTAAGCTGGCTCTTGTGGAGAGCTCTTGATTGGGCCTTTGGCTTGTTCAGGAGTTTGAGAGTCCCTAAGTCTTTACATATTCTCAGCATTGGAAGCTCTCAGGACTGCCGTTTGATTTGGGTTTTCATTTACATGGAACTTTCTTTTCCTTGCTGCAGACTTGGCTCTTTTGATTGCAATCTGGTCCTCTGTTGGCAGAGATTTCTTTTTGCAAGGCATACTCCTTGCATATGCAATAGGCAACAACAAACTACAGAACTCAAAATTGATTGCTGCATTTAAGTATTGGATTAATATTTAAAAGTTCAAAAAAAATTCTGTCGCCATTTTAATTTAAAGACAATTTGATTTACATAGGTCCTTACTTTCCATACAAACAATTTTATTTCATGGGTGACTTCCACAGGATTTCACAATTAATTTCAATTATTACCAAATTTATTTCCAAATTATAAAAATTATCATACAAAACAATTTATTGCAAAAAATCATGTGAAAAATCACAGTAATGAAAACTTGGGATCCATCCCAGAATGTTTTTAATTTGTTCATGGAG